ATTACAAAAAATGAACAAAATGAAAAATTATAATCGGTTGAATGAGGTTTTCACGGTTTTTACAAATTGAGTGGTTTTTATTTGAACGCTCTCACACACACACACACACACACATATATATATATATAGAGGAACGATCAAATGAAAACCACTCCAATTTGTAAAAACCGTAAAAACTACTCTCATCCGTCGTTAATCTTATGAAATTTTTTAATGAAATTGTTAATCTTGTGAAATTGTTTCATATAATACTTTTTTTGATGAAGTTGTTTCATATGTGGTTATGAAATTGTTTCATATACTACTTAATGAAATTTTAATGAAACTGTTTCATGTATTTCTCTAAAATTAAAATAATGAAGATGATATTAATCAACCTCTCATAATTATAAAAAAATGAACAAAATGAAAAATTATGAGTGGTTGAATGAGGTTTTCACGGTTTTTACAAATTGAGTGGTTTATATATATATATATATATATATATATATATATATATAGTGGGTTCAAATAAAAACCACTCAATTTGTAAAAACCGTGAAAACTTCATTCAACCCATCATAATTTTTCATTTTGTTCATTTTTTTATAATTATGAGAGGTTGATTAACCATTTTTATTGTGGAGGGTGTAAATCATGGATATTATCATCTTCATTATTTTAATTTTAGAGAAATACATGAAACAATTTCATTAAAATTTCATTAAGTAGTATATGAWACAATTTCATAACCACATATGAAACAACTTCATCAAAAAAAATATTATCAGAAACAATTTCACAAGATTAACAATTTCATGAAAAAATTTCATAAGATTAACGACGGATGAGAGTAGTTTTTACGGTTTTTACAAATTGGAGTGGTTTTTATTTGATCGCTCATTTCTCTCTCTCTCTCTCTCTCTCTCTCTCTCTCTATATATATATATATTCCTTGGGTCAACTATTCAATTAGGAATTCGATTAAAAATAATTGTTTATGTAATCTTTCTTATGCACATTAGATACACAGATCTAAACCAATTACAAAAGCAAAACACATTACCTACTGATAGAGCATTGTTGGCGGCAAAATTCAACAAAGCTTTTGTGGATACCAAAAAATTCGCTACAGTTGCCGCTTGAGGATCACGATCCAGACCACCATTTCCCTGAAACTCCGACCACACTACTACTCTTCAATTCAAATCATGACGTAACTTACCGATTTTAATCACACAGCAACTACGTTCTAGTTGTTTAGATAACGAATCAAACATCATAAAAAAAATCTGAAGTACCTGATCGGAAATTGCGCTGTTTCTGATTATTTTTCTTCCATTAACTGAATGGAGTTTACGTGGAAGCAACGAATTGGTGATAATGCCACCAAAAATGCGATTGCACGAAACGAGATGTGGTGATGTAAATTCACAGTTTCTCGATCGGAAATGAGCTGTTCTGGTCACCGGAGGAGTGACTGTGAGGGTGTGAAGCATTCTCGCCATATGCAGAGGTAAGAGGAGATCAGAGGCTAAAATTATGTGCGTCAAAGGGAAGTGGTGGTAGTGGCAGTTATTTCAAACATATAGAGGTTGGGTTATTTCCACATCGACCCCTTGACTTATAAAAACGACAGTTTGCCACCTCTAATTAACTGGAGGAGCCTCCTCTATGTAAAAATAGTTAAAAATAAACCATGGGTTTTGAAAAAAATAATTATAATAGTAGATAAATTGACAAAAATGCCCTTGAGTTAACGGAGAGAATTTAACGATGTTAGTGATAAGGACCCAAGTTGATACGAAATGCAAACCACAAAAACATTCAATATACTTATTTTGAAAAAGAAACCATATTCAATTTCTAAAGCAAACCGGAGGACTAGAATGTAATTTACTCTAATTCTAACCACAAGAGTGGTGTCTAATTGGTTTGAGCTTCACTCCAAAGGTCAGAAGTACTAGGAGGTCTCAGGTTCAAATCCAAGGAGAAATAAAAATCCCGTTGTGGCCACGGAGGTTCAAATACGATGACTTCGGGCTATCTGCAAAACAGGTGATCGTCCTGAGATTAATCGGCTCGCATTGCGGGTTGGATATCCAAATTAATAATTTTTTTTTTACTCTAATTCTAAACAAAGATTGATATAATTATTATAATATTAAAATATTAATTTTATGAATTTAAAAGGAAATTGGAAAGCGATGAAAAGTGGTAGGTGGATAATTGATTTCCTTAAGAAACCCCATGATCTTGCATTAAAAATTGACCTCCATAAAATAATGCAAACGTTTTTCTCGCTGGCTAAATAGATGATATTATCTCACGTATCTTCTTATCAGTTCGAGAGTAAGATGTCCGCAAACTTATCTCCGCGTCAAAGGATCAAACTTCGAAGACTGTTCTCGTGAATACTCTCGGCTTGCAAAACAAATAAATTATAAACGGTACAGGTGGAGAGGTGGTGCAAAACCTGGCTTACATGTGCTGCAACACAGGGAAGGACGAGTAAACCAGACAGCACCAAACGTAGCACCGAGTTGATTCACAACCGCAACCAGCATCGATATGGATTTCTACAAATAAAGCATTTAAAAAATTATATAAAATCAAAATCAAAATCAAAATAAAGCATTTAGAAATTGTATGAAATCAAACGGATCAGTTGTATTTTGGATTTGCAATCTTCATAACACACACATACGCAAAAAGCAGAAGAAAAACATAAATATGAATGCATAATGAGAAGCTACAAATATATTAACTAATACAAACAAGATGGTAAAAAAATTAAAAAATATAATATATTAATTAAATGAATTTCAAACTGATTATTATTATCATAATATTTGAATA